CTCGATGGCGAAACTCTGCACCCACGCACACTCACACACACTCGCTACAGCAGCGACGATAGCAGATATCTCGATATCGGCGGAGGTGTCACTTCCACTCGACGTTCTGGTAACTCGGCTGGCTTACTTCGTATCTCTTGGAAAACTTTGGGAAAACACCGGCTACTATGGACTTCGGCTGGATGCTCGGATAACCAATCCTCGACTAGTTCGTTTATATTAGCGCGCGTTCCGTCCCGTCTCGTACCGAATTCCCTTTTTCGATTTTCCCCAACCAGTAGGTGCTGCCCTCGCAGACAGCCGCATGGTTGAGGTGATAGCGCTAACAAGACGTTTACCGTTACAAGCTTCCGAATGCAAGATAGCAGGATATTTTTTTATGATTAGCTTAAAAGTTACAGATGTTTGAAAAAAAAACACTTTTTTTCAAGAGTTATTATTTTGGTATTATCGACTCGTATGGAAGAATTTTACTTCAAAAAAACGTGTGATTTGTAGCGTAGAATCAACCTAAATTTTCTCTGATTTATTTCGGAAAATTTTTTTTCATAAATTTTGGAGTCGATTATTGTATGACTTTATGGTATTCTTTAATAACTAGAATACTTTATTATAGATGGAAATGATCATTTTCTTAATAAGGAACCATGTAGAAAATAATGTAGAAAATATCAAATAATCAGTTTTTATTAGTCCATTATCGAAATAAATAATAAATATTCTGACCTCCGGTGACAGTCAAAAAGTAGTCGAAATAAATATAATAAATAAATAATTTATCAATCCATACGTTTCAATAGCTTTAGAAATTCATGTTTTTTGGTCGTAGTAATAATAATGATAACAATAATAATAATATATAGCTGGGTACATTGCCAAAAGAAATACTGTAAGTCGATGATGATGGTACAGAGACAGGGCACACTGCGAATCGCTTGCTTCTACCGAACAGTCTCTGCGCTGGCTGTTTTGGTGGTGGCTGGCATAATACCCGTGGATCTTCTGGCCTTTGAACGCAAAAGGATCTACGGGAGCAGCGCGGACATAGGACGAAAGAACGCAGCAATCGCTGAGCGTGATAGGACAATTGTCATTTGGCAAGGCCGATGAACAGAGGAACGAAGTGGTAACTGGACGAGACAATTGATACGGGACTTGAGCTGTGGCTCGGAAGGAAATTTGGCGATGTAAATTTTTACGTCACCCAGCTCTTGATGGGTCACAGGTACTTCCGACGGTACCTTTACAACATAAACAGACTTCGAACATCCGACCGTAAGTACTGTGGACACGAACGAGACGACGTGGAACACATGTTTTTCGCGTGTGACCGCTGGACAAGACTCACACAGGAACTCGAAGGAACGGTCGGCAGCATCACTCCCGATAACATTGTGGTCGTGATGCTGCGTGAACCCGAATGGTGGTGCTTAGTCGCTACCTATACGGAAACTATACTGAGATGTAAGAATGCGGACGGCTGCCTGACAGATGACTGAGCAGATGAAGTGACGCGACGTAACAAGATACGGAGGAACGACACGAGCGGACGAACACACACAGAACCTCCAGTCAGAAGTAATATCAACATAGTCCCTGGCTAGGGGAAGAACACCAAAGAGATGCATTTTTTCTCATGGTCACTGTGCCAAATTTAGAAAACTTTTTTACGTTATTATCAACAATACACCGGGATAACTAGAGCGTTTTAGCTACATTCTTATTGCTCTTATCGATTTTGTGAAGAACCACTATCTTACTACAGCTCTGTCTATTGCTAAATTTGCAGTCTTTCCCATACTGGCGACTAAAAAGATTGTATGAATGAACTGGCAGTTTATTAACTGAGTTTACCTAGAGTATCTCGGTGTCATCGTATATTTATAAACAAAGCTCAATTACGTGTGAAGTGACCAATTCTTAGAGTTTATCTTATTTTGATGATTACGAAAGAATTCAACGTTGTTGTTTCATTGGATATGACTTTATATTACTCATACTTTGTAATTTAGAGACGATAAAAACCTTTTGTCATAGTTTTTTTGCTGTATTTATGAAAACTCCTAGATTAATTTCAGCTTCAAAGAACTGAAAAACCGTAGAAAATAAAAATAACGATTTTTTCATTCATGGAATACTAAGAAGTCGTACAATAATCGACTTCAACATGTAGAAACAAAATTTTCCGTAATAAATCAGAGAAAATTTAGGTTGATTCTACGCTACAAACCACATTTTTTTCGAGTAAAATTCTTCCGTACGAGTCGATGGTACCAAAATAATAATTCTCGAAAAAAAACTGATTTTTTTTTCTTTCAAACGTCTGCAACTTTTAAACTAATAATGGAAAAACATTCTGCTACCTTGCATTTGAATGCTCTTTAAACAAGCTTCCAAATCCTCCTTTTAGATTTATCGCGGGAATTTTTTCCACAAAAATGTTCGGACTTAAAAATGGGCAAAAAATTATTAAGTTTTTACTTACCTTTATGTATTGAGAAAACATGGAAAAACATTATTAATCGATTCGAAAGGAAATATACCTCAAAGTATTTACCAGAACCTCCAAAATAAGCTTCCGGAGGCTTCTACAGAATGAATTCTTCCTTAGTAACAAAACTTTTAATTTTATGTAATTTTTTCTCTTGGTGGGTAAATAAATATGAAAGGCAGAGTATGTCTTTGGTTACTTAATCTTGGACGTTTTGTGATTTGAAGATCATTGGTAGACAAGAGTATTGTACGTTCGTTGTATCTCCTGATGGGCATTACTTTCTTTATATTTATTGCTGAGTTTAGTGAAAGGGCATCTGCTACGTAGTTTGTTTTTCGTGGGCTATAGCGAACTTTAAAGTCGTTTATGACGGAGAATCACGGCATGGCCGTTGTTTCTGCCGTTGGGCTCTGCCAAGATCCACGCGCTGTGCTAGGCTGCGAGTGTGTGCGCTGAAAGCACATACTCACGCTAGCCTTTTTCCTTGTCGCGGTACGGTGCTAGAACGAATGGCGAAGGAGGGCACAGGTGGCAGTTGGAGAGAAGCGAGGAGAGAAAGAGACAAAAGAAAAAAGAGAGAGAAGTAGAGTTGAAGAAGAAGATAGAAGTTGCACGCGCACACTCACGCCGATTAATTTGTAGTATGTACTACGATCTAGTACGGACCGTCTTGCGCGCTATATTTAACGCCGATTTTGTTAGTTAAAAGTTTTTCTGCATTCTCGTCGACGTTTTTCGTAATTTCGTGGATATGCACTTAGTATGCGGGAGTTGGTTTGTGAATATTGGCTGGATCGCGCTAACCATGGACTGAAAAGCCAACACCAGTGCGCGTGAGGTTCCGGCGAGGTGACGCTGGTGTGTGCACGTGAGCGGTTGTTGCCGAGCGGAGATATTGTGCCGAGCACCTGCTGAAGAGAGCAGTCGAAGTGAGGGAGGACAAAGACAACAATAACAACAGCGTCAACAATAGTAACAATCACAACATCAACATTTACACTGATAACGGCAACAAAAACACCCATTTACATATACACAACAACAACAAGAGCATCAATGGCAACAACAACGATTTGGAGGACAGCATCAGAGAGGAGTGGATTAGGTGGATGAAGTCGGTGTTATAATTTTCTCTTTCGCATGTTCCAGGCGCCGTTGCTACGCGGGTAGAGTGGAAAATCTGCCAGCTACCTCGCTGACCGTGATCATTGACAGTTTTTGTTACGGGCGTATATTTTAATTATATTGCCGAGTGCGGAAGGAGTAGAGAAGGCGGATCGGGTAGCAGTCCTGTCACCGATTCGCGCTTTGTCGTGAGCACGGATTGCTTGTGAAGCGTAGACCTACCGGTGATATTGTTGTTTGTTTCTTTGATTGATGTGTTTATTTGTTAAGTTTGTTATTATTGATATAATTTGTGCTTCCTGAATCCTTTTCTTTAAATAAATATACAGACGGCCATCAGGTACCCGAAAAGGAAACGGTTGCTTAATAACACCTTTCCACGTATTCTAGTAGCTTATAGTACCAACGCTTAAGCATTGGGCGTTTTAAGATTCTGAAGCCAAATGAGAGGTTGGCGATTTATAAAGCGTTCGTCGTCACAAAGAATCTTTCGTTGAAATTGGAATGTATGGGCTTAGGCAAGTTTTTAGGGTTTCAAATACATCTTTTTGAGTAACTTGCCAGATAAATGGCATATTTTTTTTCGTAAGTGCGGTCAGGGAATTGGATATCTTTGAGAAGCCAGGGATGAGTCGGCCATAATAATCGGAAACACCAATAAAATTTTGTATATTTTTGGGAGTTCTTAGTGTCGGGAATTGATTGACGGCTCGAACCTTGGTTGGTTCCTGTTTCATGCTGTTTGGAGTTAAAACATGCCCAAATATTTGGCCTCACTTCTGTATAATATATATTTTTTAGGGTAAAATTTTAATCCTGCATCAATACAAAGTTCTATCACTCATCGTGTTTGTCAATATTTTTGGCAAAAATATTCAGCTCATCGACATAGGCTTGGGTTCTTTTTCCTTGTATGTCTCTGAATACATTATCAATTATGCATTGAAATGTACTCGGAAAATTTTTTAGACCGAAAGGCATCCTTATAAAATGAATATGACCATATGGGATTGAGAAAGCAGTTTTATGGCAGTCCGTGCAATGCCGAAATTTTTATTAAATTTGGTTCGGCATTGGAGTCTATCACGGGGTTAACATACCCATGATTAAAATCATTATATGAGATTTCGACAATAGGAATGTGGTCAGAGCTTTCTAGAGGGACGCGGTAGATAGGTTTTGTGTCCCTTGCCGTTAGGATGAGATTTATTGGGCGTTGTTTTCTGGCCGATTCCGACGCGCCCTGTGCTGCTGGAGCTGGTCGCGCGTTTCTCGGCGACTAAATATTATTGGATTCGCGCCATTGTTTACAATTGAGGCCCAAGCAGTCATTGACGCTATGCCCATTCCTCTTGAAATAGTTGCAAGATGCTTATGGGTCTTATGGAGCCAGTTTGAACTGCGGCTGATTAGGATTCATTGGTCTTAATTGATGTGTTGGACCGTAGTTAGGCTGAGTTGACGGTACGTCTTGACGTTTATGCTGTTGAGGGTAGGTTCTCGCGTTGTGTTCTGGGTGTGTTTGAATGGTTCGCGTAATCTGATGCTGTATTCATCGTGTTATTTGGCATTCTGTCCGGCATTCTATGTTTTAGCCGGTCTTACTATCAGGCTTAGCCGTTTCCATCAAAGTTATTTCTCTGTAATTTTCTAGTCACGTAGTGTTAGCAATACTGTCTTGGATATTCATTACTTATTCAATGAACTTCAGTATGGGTTTATTTTTTCACTATATGAGGGTCGCTAACTTTCCTCGTTGGAGATTTGCAATTGAATTTGAAAAAACACTTGTTTGAGTTGTCTTGTAAAGTTGTCAAGGTCCGTGAAGGTCAACCCATGTATAGTTGCGTACATTCTATCTTCTAATTAGTTAATAAGCAGCTTGAGACTTAACTTCTTGTGGTATTAGAGCTTTTGCTCGGCGGTATGGTCGTATGAACGTCTGTAAATTAGTACCGTCAAAACCGAGAATGTTAGCTACAGCTTCTTGAATCGTGAGAATAAAAGGCAAACTACAAGGTAACGTGAATGAATGGGCAATTCTCAGCCAATCATACTTAGTAATTTCCCCACCTTGGCTCGTTGCGAGTTAAGGAAATTTGATATTTAGCACGTGGAGGTAGTGCACTCTGCTCTTAGTGACGTTCGTGCAAGCGGATTCATTTTACGTCTAGCGTGTGCTCACAAATCAGTTGTGATTTTTGCAGTATTAACTATTTTTGTCTACTTCTACCGTTCGACTTCGTGGAAAGAATTTTTTAAGAGCTCTCCCACAGAGTCAGCAACAAAGACATACGAATTTACGGTGTTCTTATGTTAACCTTGCCTGTGGTAGCCTTATCAAAACATAACATGCAATACTTTTGCTACGTCCTGAGCGTTAGCTACCCGTTAAACCTAACATATAAGACTTACCAATATATAATCTAGTGGGCAAGGCTCACTTATTATTTTTCATACATATTTTATATATGGTGTAGAAATATGAGCAAAGAGAAAACAAAGAGATGAATGAATGAGTGTTATGGTACCTGGACTCTTATCGTAGAGACGTCTTGTAAATCAGGTTTAAAGAAAGATACAGAAATAGGTTGGTTTTAACCCGTTAACGTCCACAGGACACATTTTTTAAGTTTGAGTTTGAATTGTTACCTCGCAATGAATTCGAACTCAAATAACTTAAAACTAACCGTACCCTATGTTTTCGAGGGTGCTCTTTCGAATGGTGATGATCAGAAGTCGAAAAAAAGATTTCTAACCTCTAAAAAATCAAAATTAAAAAAAAAAAACGTGATTTTGAAAAAAAGAATTTTTTTTTAAACTGATTTTCTGGAGCCTATACATTTTTGTATCGGTCTAAAACCGGTTAGAAAGGTGTCCTCGATATCTGAACTAAATGTTAGGATGATGACATTTATTTGAATAATTTTTCATCTAAGCAAAATGGCGGCCGAAATAAAAAAATTTTGTTCTAAACTTGATAAATTTTTTTCTCAGAAAGTATAGGTGTTAGCAAAAAATTTATAGGAATAAAAATATCTTAAAATCAGCTAAGAAATACTCTTAAATTTTTTCAAAACGTTTTGAAACAATTTTTGATTTTTGAAAAATTCAAAAAAATGAAATTTCAAAAAAGTTGAAAAAACATTTTGAAAAAATTCAAGAGCATTCCCTGATTAATTCTAAGATATTTTTGTTCTAATAAATTTTTAGTTAAACTGCATAGTTTTGAAGAAAAAATGTGTGAAATTGTAAAAAAACTTATTTGTATATTCAAAATAATGAGCAACAAATAAATAAAAAGGCCGAACCAACGGGATTTTCGGTTCTCTAATTGTTATGCCTGTTAGCCGGCGATGGTACATCACCATTGTCCATCTCTTACCACGGGGAGGTCGACAATAGAAAGAGACATTTTCTTTTTTTTTGTTTTTTGCCTTGTTTTTTTACTTTTTTTTAAATTTTTTTTTGTTTCTCGCCTTATTCAAATTTTTTTTATACTTAAATGTTTTGGATAAAATCTGATAACTAGATTTAATTGAAACTTATAAAATTATTTTTTATGAAAATCAAGGAAACATGTAGAACAAAAATATTTTTGGCAATCAACGCAAAATTGTTGTGTTCTTTTAGAACATTTTGTGAAGTTGAAACATTTCTTTTTTGCCATGACTTTTTCGTGTGTGTGAGATTGTCGATTATTGGTTTCATTCAAGTATTTTGATGCTACAGCTAGTGCAATGTCTTTTATGGTTACAACTTTTTTACCACACACCAAATTCTTGAGTACGGCGGCATTTGTAATTGATCCTTGAATAATTCTCATTAAAACTACCCAAGTCCACTTTTTCGACCTAATACACGGCAACAGACTGCTACAGTAATAATCATGTTGGTCTACTCCACCCATAAAATTGTTGTACAAATTGAAAGCATAAGGACAAGGTATTTCAACTTTACCATGTTCATCTTTAGAATATCGTTTTGCTGAAGACAATGGAGTAATGCCAGCAGCCGTCGAGAGCAATGAGACAATTTTAGAGTCCATGACTGATATGTAGTTGACACCACTATTTTTGTCATGTTTCACAAAATATGTTCCTCTCTTTGATTTATTATTAAGATCAATAGTGACTCCGCTTACTCTATTTGCTCTCACAGTACCTGTAGCTCGAAGACCAATTTTTCGTAGATGAACGAAAAGATCTGGTGAACTGAAAAAGTTATCGAAATAAATGTGATAACGACTGATCTTTCTTAGTGACACAGTTGTTAAGAGCCTCTGGAGCATTTGTAGAACAACGCGGCTACCCAAAGCACAATTTCTTAAATTCTCTAACTGCTTCGAAGGGAGATGGTTTGATCCTTTCCCACAATATATATCAAAATCAAAAATAAATCCTTCTTTATTGCAAATAGCCCACAGTTTCATACCAAAACGTACAGGTTTACCTTTCATAAACTGCTTCAAGACTGTCCTACCATAAAATTTGATCATACATTCATCAATTGATAAAGCTGTGGAAAAAATCGCAAATTGTTGGCAGTTTTTTCGAAAAATATCTAAAGGAACACGTATACGCCAAGCTCTATCATTTGCATTTTTGTCTTCATTTTTTGATAGCTTTATTTCTGATTTTATTTTTTCAAATTTTTGACGACTCGTGGCTAATTTTACTAATTCGCAGACTAGAAAAGGATTATTTGACCAGTAATCTCTCTGACTTTTTCTTGAATTAAAGATCGATAAAATAATAATTTCTAAAAATGTGTTCAAGTCTTGTAGAGTAAGATCACCACCATTGCATACTGTTGCTTCTACTATAAATGCCTTTAATTCATCAGAAAAAAATAATTCAAACAAATCAGTCAGAGATTAATCGAGGATCTTTTTACGATCAGATTCTGAAAGAAAAACTTCACTTGTTAACTTTTCCCCATAAACTTTTTCGCCATCCAACCACTTATAAACATGGTTTGGTTCTAACTTCTTTTGATTTTCCGAGTAGCTATCAAGAACTTGATTGTATAAAGTAGTAGGTATAAGATTTTCAAGGAATGAGCATACATCAATGTGATCATTTTCATTTTCTGAATTTGAATCAGACTCAGAATCTTGAGAATCGTCTAAACTGGGAATCATAATGACATCAAAATTCTCGTCATTTTCTTCGGTTTCAATATCATATTGTTGATCAGAATTTTTGGATCGTTTTTTGGGTGGCATTTTTCCGACTTCACAATAAAATAATTCTACTATTTTCTTATAAGAATATGTAATAATGCAATAAAAAATTATTATTTAAGTTATCTAAACAACTAAAAATTGTTTCCGAGCTCAATGAAGAAATAAAAAAAATTTTTAGAGCTTTAGTAATCATCAAACTACTTAGTGTAAAGATAACATATTTTTACATTTTATACAAAGATTCTTTTATATATTTTCTGAAAGTAGTATAATATTATGTGAAGCTGACAATACGTTGACAGTTAATTATCAAAATAATAATTTAAAAAACTGATTTGAAATGCATGAAGATTAAATTGTATCCAACTATACAAATAAGAAGTGCTTTTTTACAAATTCACGTAATTTTTTCTTCAAAACTATGCAGTTTAACTAAAAATTTATTAGAACAAAAATATCTTAGAATTAATCAGGGAATGCTCTTGAATTTTTTCAAAATGTTTTTTTAACTTTTTTGAAATTTCATTTTTTTGAATTTTTCAAAAATCAAAAATTGTTTCAAAACGTTTTGAAAAAATTTAAGAGTTTTTCTTAGCCGATTTTAAGATATTTTTATTCTTATAAATTTTTTGCTAACACCTATACTTTCTGAGAAAAAAATTTATCAAGTTTAGAACAAAATTTTTTTATTTCGGCCGCCATTTTGCTTAGATGAAAAATTATTCAAATAAATGTCATCATCCTAACATTTAGTTCAGATATCGAGGACACCTTTCTAACCGGTTTTAGACCGATACAAAAATGTATAGGCTCCAGAAAATTAGTTTAAAAAAAAATTTTTCTTTTCAAAATCACGTTTTTTTTTTTTAATTTTGATTTTTTAGAGGTTAGAACTCTTTTTTTCGACTTCTGATCATCACCATTCGAAAGAGCACCCTCGAAAACATAGGGTACGGTTAGTTTTAAGTTATTTGAGTTCGAATTCATTGCGAGGTAACAATTCAAACTCAAACTTAAAAAATGTGTCCTGTGGACGTTAACGGGTTAATATTTTCTAACCAAGTAGAGTTTATTTAAATGGTTTAACAAAATGTGTTAGGCACGTTTGTAACTATTAAATACACCATTTTTACGTATAGGTGTGAAAACGGAGGTCTAAGATATAGTCTTTGACTTGGACTCTTACGAACTGCTCGCTGTGAGATTTCGCGGGCTTTTATAGCTGCCGAATTTGTTAAATTATCGATATTTGCAATTTTAAGTGGGTTTTGCTTAAGACTTTTTATTTTGCCACCTGTCCGAAAGTTCATGAGAGTACAATGACTTGCTGAAGTATACAGAATTTGAGTTTCTGTAAGAGCTTGAGTTTCGGAATTTTATAAAGGAATTTAGCAAGCGCCGTAAGACGTAACACCTTCACAATCGAAAAAGACAATCAATATTGGCTTAACATTGCTCCAATTTCGGAATAAACTTTATGCGTGTCATTTATAAATTTGAGTTTAAAACTTCCTGAAATATAGTTTTTGGTATTCCTGGATCTTCTAGTTCTCGCACAGTCATGCGATGATCTTGTTCAATAGCAAGTCGCACCAGCCTAATATTATCGTTTTTATCGTCGAAGGTCGGTCAGAACAAAAATCACTCTCAACAGAAGTGTGGTCTTCTTTAAAACGATTATACCACTCTTTTATTTCCGCAATATAAACAAAGATCACTAAAATTAAACAGTACCGTATCTGATGAACGGGTGGCATGTTGAGGTTCAGCTTTTAGTTTGTTTCTCTCCTTTTGTAATAAATTTGAAATTTGATTTTTGACTTGATCTGTTCAAATCTTCTACATGACATTATAGATACTACTGGTTCAGCTCTCAAATATGGGTCCGCAGACCAATAATTCCTTTGAGATAGTTTTTTTTTGTATGTGGTAAATATAATAATACCAATGAATACATCAAGTTCAGTTCTCGATATTTCACAGCCATTTATTTTTGTGCATTCAATGATGTGATTCTTCAATTCGAGAGGAAAGAAGTTTTCAAATAAATTTGATGGAGTACTTTTCAATATGCTTTCATTATCCGACTCTTTCAAGAATATCTCATTTGTGAAAGTCCTATTATAATTATGTTCTCCATCGAGCCATTTGTAATGGTGATCATTCTCTAATTTCTTTTGTGAAGTACTATAACTGTTGTAAACATTATCGTAAGAATTGACAATAAACGTGGACGTGAAATTATCAACTTGCTCTGAGTCTGAATTGTCTTCTCAAGAATCTTCAGAATGTTCATTTAGTGAAATATCTGAATCAGATTCACCAGAATCATCAGCATTTGGTATAACATTAGCATTGATGAACTCTCCATGTTGGTCATATTTAATAGACCCATGTGCAACTGAGTTCCATCGACTGGGTCTTTCTGAATTTTCACATCTATAATTAGATTTCCTTTTCGACATTGTGCCTTATATACGAATGCAGATACAATATTTGTAGGGAATTAAGTTATGAGAATCTAAGCAGTTATCTAATCCAATACAAAGTTATCAAAAGTTGCAATCAAAAGTTATCCGAATGATTCCATGACCAAATATTTTCCTGGAATCGACCATCACAATCGTGGAAAAGATTCGGAATCGGAAAAAAATTGAATTGCAACCATGCTTTCTGAGTTTGTGGAACTTTTATTTTCCACTCTAGGATAAGATCACCTTTCAGCGATTGTACCATAAATACAAACTTGAATACAGTTTCTTTAGGAATAAACTCATGAAAATAGAATTGTCGTTACAGCTACTGATATAATTTCGTGACCAGATATTCTTCGAAGTTCGACATTCACAAACGCAAGGTGTTCGAAAAATTTGAAAGAAAATTTATATGAAAACTATGATCTTCAAGAGCATTTATCTCCTTGTAGTGAGAAGCGAAAAACTCCGATCAAGAATGCGTGGTTGCAAAGTTTGGAGGCGAATTTTCGATTTCCAGTATTTTGATAATTTTATACTCGAGAATGGAGGCTCTGATCGAGGAAGTAAATAGAAGAATTTTGATTCTTAATTTCACGTAGAATACGATTGTATTTTTTATTTTTCCTGAATTGCTAGTTTTGAGTTTGCAATCCGCTATTTTGGATCCGCCATTTTAAATTTTGATAAGATAATAATGAATTTAGATCTAATGGTGCTGAGAGTTTATAAAACTATTGAATAAAGAGGATTGAAGACTATACAGTGTCTATAAAACTGTGTACATACGATATTTTAGCTGACTCATGACGGCCGCTATCTTGAAAATCAATTTTCTGAGCTAATTTTGCTAATATGCATCCAATTTATTGTCACAGGACTCATAAAAGGCATTTTTGACGCTAAAACTTTGATTATACTTCAAAAGTGCATATTACTGTGATTTAGCAATAATTTCAGGTATTCGGGCGCCATTTTTGATTGGTTAACAATAAAAATCAATGTTTTTCAAAGTATATTTTTGAAATACAACTTTTGGGTCCTGCATCCTAATGGGTTAAAATGTTCTTGAGTGCCGAGAACATAGTTAAAAAAGTTCTTTAAAAAAAAAATCGAAAATCTCCATTTTTTGTTTTGTTTATTGTTAAACAATAAACAATAAACAATTCGTGCTCATTTATTGATAAATCTGACAATGCCATTTCAAAGATGAGACTTTTATACACAAGAATATGTATCCCAATATTTTTTCCACACGAGTTATAATTGAAAGGCACGAGCTTGACGTTGACCTTAAAATTTTGGCCATTTGCACGTTAAAGGGTTACAAAAAAACAGACCAGAATATCAGATTACTGGCTAAATAAAACACACAACAAATTTGAAATTGTTCAAAATTAATAAGATAACCGTAAATATACTGAAAATAAAACAAACAGAAAATTACAAGAAGAGAAAGCCGTGACAATTAAATCACTATCGATATTTGTTTATAACGTGGAAAACATTAGTTCATTATAAGAATTATTAATCAGAATAGCCAAGGAAAGTATCGTCATCAAAATTTTAAGACAAAATAGAATCAAAATTCAGCCATTAGATTCTGAAAAATATTTACAGATTGTAAATGCACTGAAAGAAAAAAAAAACGCAATTTTACACGTATCAACGTAAAGAAGATAAAGGATTGAAAGTAATTCTAGTAGTTTTTTGATGAACTGAAAAGAGCTACAGAAGAAATAGGACACAAAGTAATATGAATACATGATATTCGTCATCAAGTTACAAAAATACTGTTCCCACTATTTACCGTTGAACTTGAACACAGTAGTAATAATCACGATATTTACAAAGTAAACCATTCAATGAATACAATAATAAAATTTAACTCCGAATATGAAGAGAGACATCTCATAGTGCCAAAACTGTCAAGAATTTAGGCATACGAGAAACAACTGTTATAATAGCTGTGATGATGCGTCATCACGCAAAAAGTCCGACCTACAGGGTTGATGAAAAATCCTCTTTCGACAAGAGGACGCGAACGCCGATCAGCTGATCTCATTAGCTCACATAAGACATGTGATTAACCCCGAGACCTCGCGAAAAAAAACCTCTCAGGACCCGCCCAAATCGATGCGCACGATCCTTACACTCCCGGACACACACTATCATACACAGCAACCCGGACCGACACTCCTTCAGGAAGCCAGATGACGAAAATGGTCGCAGCTGAGATCAACTGATCCCGTTAATTAACGCATAAGGGGAACACCGTACATATACAGTAACACCACTGGCCGACCATTTAGCACACCCGAAGGACTGTCGGAAACACACACACACGCATGATTGACCAACGCGCCCCGGGAAACAACAGGAACAGCGGCAATGGAACGCGATGTTAACGCGTGAGCCGAGCGGCGGCCATGTTGTAACGCGCTTGAGCTAGACCGAGAGAGGGGTAACCGAGCGTATGAGTGTGAATGAGATGACCGATAGGAGAGCGATCGGGCGCGAACGGAGGTATAGCATAGAGCGTGCGTACAAGCGAGACAGTCGATA